CATCTCATGAGAAGAGAAGACTCCCTGGAAAAGACCCTGATGTTAGGAAAGTGTGAAGGCAAGAGGAGAAGGGGACAACAGAGGATGAGATGGTTGGACAGTGTCATTGAAGCTACCAACATGAATTTGACCGAACTCCGGGAGGCAGTGGAAGACTGGAGGGCCTGGTGTGCTCTGGTCCATGTAGTTACGAAGAGTCGGACGTGACTTAACCACTAAACAATAGCAACCACCACAACAAGGCCCTTTCAAACTTAATGACATTTACTTTTGAGTGAATATACTGTATATAAGTAATATTAATTGACTATTTTTTGTTAATAAGAAATGGAAAATAGAAGGAGGAGATAGCTTGTTTCTGAGAAAAATGCATACTCCAGAGAGGTATTATTTAATTCACTGTTAATAACAGTCACTGCTGTTATTGCCTAATTACTAATAATAATACTTTGTATTTGAAATGGGTTTATTCTGAAAGCATACAAAGCACTTTAATTCTATATGAATTCAGTAACCCTTGTAGCAGTTATAAGTGTGATGGTTTCCATCTTACAATTAGGATGTGGGAATGAGGTTGAGCATGGACACAACTAAATAATTGTAGACTCTCCATTAATGGTTGTGTGGGAAGAGGCTATACAGCTGCCATCGTATATTATTTTACTGATTCCATTTTTCAGTTTTTATTTCTGCAAATCTGAATTGAAAAAAATGTTCTTACAATAATAATGGTAGCCAGGAAAAGTGTGTGCTTTACAATGGCTAGATTCATCCCTATCCTATGAAGTGTGCATTTTGAAAACAATACAAGCATTCTCCTTGTGTTATGGCATGACGGATATATGATGGCCCTTTGTCCTGGAGTGGTAACATGAAGTGTCTCCTGTGCCTACAGTGTATTTTATTGTCCCAGTATCATTCTAGATCTAGTCAATGAATATCTTTATGTTTGTTTCTTGCCTCTGTCCGCTTGAACTACTACTATGCCCAAGTTTCCTCCTGGGATTAAAGAAAGGGGGTAGGGGGGAGCAAAAATTGTTTAAATTTAATTAATATTTTTTTACCTCTGGATAACAGGGCTGGCCAAAAAACTCACATTCCAGCAGTGTGCTGCTGTTCAGATAGAAGCCATTATTCCTTGTGAATTCTTTGATGCTGAAGTTTTGATTCCCTTGAAGGAAACTGTTTAGGTCTTGGTTAGAATTGTCACCACTATTGAACATATGGAGAACTGCAGATACTATGCTCCATAGGAAGAAGATGATGCCCAGGTTAGCTACTGCTTGGGTTTGGAACCTGTGAGGACAAACCATAAATGTGCAGTAATTCTTAAATTCCTAAATATGGTTCCAGGACAGCCCTTAAAACTTAAAACAAACAAACAAACAAACAAACAAACAGTAATTGAGTCAGGGCAGATTATTTGGCCATAACAGTGCATTCTGTAGATGTTGTATGGAAGACCAATGCGTCTTCTTCACAACTTGCAAGTAAACATGACATATGAAAGTGAAAGTTATCTTACCTGTTCAGATTGCAAAAAGTTACAGCAGGAAACTCAATGTTTTCCACATACTGAACGACTACTGACGTTGTGGTGGGCCAGCTGAAATAATTGATCAAACGGCTGCTTACTTGCCAAACAACAAGGACTATGGAACCCATGACTACTAACATCCATAATGCCTTACGTGTCTTGGTCTTGGTACGAACGATATTGTGCACCCCGTGGAATGAAGTGGATGTTGCAAATTCATAATCATACTTCTTCTTTTCTTCCAAAGATGGCAGTGGCTTCCTTGTGAAATAGAGTCTGGCTTTCCCCAACAGTCCTTAATATTTGACAAGAAGAGAAAGTGTTGGCACATAGATACTCACCAAGATGAAACAAAAAGATCATGTCATGTACCACACCTCTAAGAGGCTCATAATGAACCAATTTTCTTTGGGGTTTGTTGTTGCTGTTGTTGTTATTACAAATGCTTATATATTTGTCATGCTTCTCAATTACATATTTAGAGCCAGAGGTTAAAAAGTAGTGAGCAGTGAAATTCATTATAACTCCTCCCCAGTCCTAACTAGTTGCATTAAAACTTTTAGTTACAAGAGGTGAAATCCTGTTTGCATAATTTTGTATGGTGCAACCTGGTTCAGCACTGGAAACATGTAACTTACAGTAATTAAATAGGTCCTCCTTTTAAGTTCTGAGGCTCCCTGGGTCTCCCTTTTGTCTTGGGGAAGCCTTTGGGTCCCTCAGGATGTGTTGGTGGGGCTTTAATAGCACAAGTATTGCTGTTTATAATGCTGCCAGCAGTCCCCCAAACATGATGGGAATTCACACATGGCATTCATTTTCCAAAAAATAAAATAAAATAAAAATAAATTTTAAAATGACAGTGTTAACACCAAATTTGATTTTAAAAACTACGGTTGTGCCCTTACTGGCCTGAAAATGCCATTGCTTGTAACTCATTAATATAAATCTAGTTTAAGGACAAAAGAAACACAGACTTGAGAGATCCTGAAAAACAAAGTAGCTTGTCCTTTGGCAAGATTATCCAATGATGGTCTGCTCTTTTGAAGTGTTAAAATGGTAGTGCTTGAAGTCAGCATTTCTAAAGGAAAATATTAAAATAAGTAGCCCCAAGAGACTTTTCCCTACTGCTCAACTTGTTTTAGAATGTCATTTCTTACTTCACGTTCTACAGAGCCCAGTTCTATCCATGCTAATCGCAAAGCGGAAGTGTCTCCTAGATGTCTGTGTCCAAAACTGTAGTTGATTTAGATCTAGAAATTATACTCAAAATATACATATCTAGTTTTTTTTAATTAGAAAATTATTATTCTTTGCATTACCTTAGCAGAAAACGACTAAAATAAAAACCATCTCATTCAAAATAGCACCACTTAAATAAAAGGATAAGCCAACTCATTGTTATAGCTCTGATTCCATACCTCTGCCACGAAATCCACTTAACTTCCTAAGCTTCTCCATTGGGCATGTATTAGAAGATTCTGCTATAAAACACTGGCAGCTAATTGCCCTTATAAAGTAAGGGAAGGGGTGGAGACTAATTAAATACACACCATAGGGTAATTTACCTGTCTGCGTTGCTATAGTCATAGATTTTTTTTTAAAAAAGTAAACAAGACCAAATGCATGAGCTTATGTATACATAAAGTATGTTAGATAAAAGTAGAGTGTCAGACTATAAAACTGATTGAGACATCAAAATATTAATTCCTGGAGTATCAGACCAGTATGCAGAGGGCTATTTTAGGTGTAATTAAGCAATTGTAATCAATCAACTGGCTATGGTAACAATATGGACAGTGCCTTATTCACAATTGTAGAGTGCAACACGCTGTGGGCTATGTGTTTCTCCTACACATTCCCACCTGCTGCTGTGTGGCTCATGGTGGGGAGGGAATAAGAGGAAAAAGAAGTGGGCAGTGCCATCGTCTTTTCTTGAATTGCTTCCTGCCCAATCCCATGATGCAACCAGTTCTTGGCAGGTGTGGTGATTTTTGGCCACCTGTCACACAATGTTTTGGCCTAAGGATCCGTAAAACAGGCATTATCCAGACAGCTAGCCAAGAAGCAGCTGCATTATGAAGTTAGGCAGGTGGTAACTCTGAAGAAGCCTGATTACCTCCATAATTTCAATTGATTTGATTTGTAGCCAACTATCTCCTCAGAAGTAGGACTCAAAGTGGCTGCAACATAATTAGAAACAGGGTGCAGATATGGGCCGGTACTGAATGTTGTCGATACGCTAGTTCAAGTCCAGTTGTGGTAGCAGTTGCACAATTATCAGAGACAGCACAAGAAAATATTTGAGGCATATTTGGTTGTACAAGTGGTTACACACTGCTTGCACAACAGTACAACTGCAGTAGTGAAGGTTTCACTCCACCATTATATTGTTTAGTCCAGGCCAAAACCAAATAAGATATAAGAAAGACAGAAAGTTATAATGTACAAAAGTTAAAATGTACAAAAAAAATCATCTATTTCCTCCATGTGTCGAAGTCTGCTACTACTGCAAATGTGGGTATTGCCTTCCTTTCCCCACCCTGTTTAGCGGCATGTTTCACTTTCCTCGCATGACCACAGTCAAGTAGATATGTGGTAGTGGATGAAATGACACAATAGCAACACTACCCAGCAAATGAGATTTAACTCAATGCCAATGTCACTGAGAGCAGAAGAAACTGATTCAGACTGATGGTGGTCCTTCACAGTATAGTCACATGGACGGTCCCACTCAGTCACAGTTTGGTTATACCTCATGCACCCAATAAAAATGGTGGTGTGGGAGGGAGCACATACACAAGTTCACTTCCTCAGGACTTGTCCACGAAAGATATTAAAATATAGCAGTTAGATTTAAGGTGGCACAAAATTTTTATTATTTGCTTTTAATTTTTCTTTTGTGGCTTTCTGATATCCTAGCAGAGACTAACAAGGCCACCTCTTCTAAAATATGATATATGTACCCAGTATGCTCATTGTCCATCAGAGTTCTTTGGGAAACAACACTGTATTTGCTGGTGATCAGACAATATACCCAGCCTGGACTCTTTGGGTCCAATGACAGGGTCTCTTCCTTTTTTTCTTTTTCTTTTTAAGTAGTCAGGGCTGGATTGTATTTGGATGGAAAATTGCACCCAATGAAGCGGCCCTTTCCAGTGTGATCCAATGTAATCCTTATGTGACCATCACACTGTATCTTCAATTAAATATTGAAGCTGATTTCTGTGGATGACACTAGAGGGAGCCATCCACTGGCACATCAACTATAGTTTTTATTACTAGAGGCAAATAAAGAGGTAATTTATTGATTCTGCCCATTTATTGGTCAAATGTTTTAATTGTATTTGATATTTCAGTGGTATTTGTGAAACTGTTTCACACTAATATCCACACTTTGATGGAATTACGAATGTACACAGACGACTGCATAGCTGAATCACACCTATGATTAACACTCCCTGTTCACAAAATACCTCCTTCTTTAGAACTTGGCTGAACTATCCAGAGCAGTCATTCTAAATGGGGGCACCAGGCACATTTGAAGGGGGCCACAGATGAAACAATTCTTCACACACCACTTTATACGGTTTGCAATGTGATTTATTTATTACCAAAATGCTAACATGCGCTGGATTATGGAGAAAGCCAGACAGTTCCAGAAAAACATCTACTTCTGCTTCATTGACTATGCAAAAGCCTTTAGCTGTGTGGACCACAGCAAACTATGGCCAGTTCGTAAAGAAATGGGAGTGTCTGACCACCTTATCTATCTCCTGAGAAATCTATATGCGGGACAGGAAGCAACAGTTAGAACTGGATATGGTACAACTGATAGGTTCAAAATTGGGAAAGGAGTATGATAAGGCTGTATATTGTCTCCCTGCTTATTTAACTTATATGCAGAATACATTATGCAACACTGGATGAATCCCATACCGGAATTAAGATTACTGGAAGAAATATCAACAACCTCCGATATGCAGATGATACCACTCTGATGGAAGAAAATGAGGAAGAATTAAAGAACCTCTTAATGATGATGAAAGAGGAGAGTGCAACATTGGTCTGAAGCTCAACATAAAAACTAAGATCATGGCCACTGGTCCCATCACCTCCTGGCAAATAGAAGGGGAAGATATGGAGCCAGTGACAGATTTTACTTTCTTGGGCTCCATGATCACTGGAGATGGAGACAGCAGCCCCGAAATCCAAAGACTCCTGCTTTTTGGGAGGAAAGTGATGACAAACCTCGACAGCATGTTAAAAAGCAGAGACATCACCTTGCCAACAAAAGTCTGAATAGTCAAAGCTATGGTTTTTCCAGTAGCATTGAATGGAAGTGAGAGCTGGACCATAAAGAAGGCTGACTACTGAAGAATTGATGCTTTTGAATTGTGGTGCTGGAGGAGACTCTTGAGAGTTTTCTGGACTGCAAAGAGAACAAACCTATCCATTTTGAAAGAAATCAACCCTGAGTGCTCACTGGAAGGACAGATTCTGAAGCTGAGGCTCCAATACTTTGGCCATCTCATGAGAAGAGAGGACTCCCTGGAAAAGACCCTGATGTTGGGAAAGTGTGAAGGCAAGAGGAGGAGACGACAGAGGACGAGATGGTTGGACAGTGTCATCGAAGCTACCAACATGAATTTGACCCAACTCCGGGAGGCAGTGGAAGATAGGAGGGCCTGGAGTGCTCTGGTCCATGTAGTCACGAAGACTTAACCACTAAACAAGAACAACAAATGTGATTTATACAATCCCTATTTGGCCTATATTTCTTTCATATTGTCTTTATGGCAGTGGCCAAAAAAAAAAAAAAAGGCTGAGAGTGGCTCAATAAAATAGAACTAAAAATATTCCCTGTGTGGGAATTTTGTATCAGTCAGCTTTGCCCTGTTAATTCTAGAATTTAGAGGAAAAGTTACTTTTTGGACTATAGCTTCTAGAATTTCTAGGTCTCGCTCAGGATTACAGTACACTGGGAGCTGTAATTTTAAAAAGTAACTTTTTATAATTTAGTTCATTCTTCTGGCCCCCACTGAGGAAAATAAATACTTACAGTAGAATTTTTATTCATAGAAATGGTGCCTGCGGTCAGCTCATGTTGTTTTCCCCAGTTGTGACGTTCATGGAGAAAAGAAAAAAAAACACAAGGCATGTGCTTCAGTTACATGACCAAACATCTGGACTCCTCAGTGTGTGTGTGTGTGTGTGTGTGTGTGTGTGTGTGTGTGTAGATGGTGGTGCTTTTTTACTCGCTAGAACTGTGTTCATAATGAAAACTGAAAAATTATCTCCACAGATAATATCTCATTCAGTGGCAAATGCACTTGCTAAATATAAGAAGAGATAAATGGGGAGGATTTGGTACATTCTTTGTAGCTTTTGTGTCTGATGAACCAATTACCATGCTAAGTTCAAGCAGAGTTTGGAATAGTTTTTGTTTTGAATTTCTTTTTCAGAACATCCAAACCAGCAAAGGCTACTGGTTCTAAAGCAATAAAGAATGCCTATCATTTCCAAAAATTAAGTTCATGTTACACAGGTAATATCTGGGTGGTGGCGAACCAAAAGTACCATATCAAAAATTGTTGCTCAGCTGTTGTCATTCTTTGGTAGAAACCAGCCTGTAGTTTGAGAAACCTTGAACTTTATTCCTCCCACTGAAAATGAGTATCTGATTGGATTATTAATATTGCATCAGCTCTTATCCGTGTTTGCTTAACCTTGAGTTATTGGATCTCCCCATTTACTTAAAACAGGCTATTAATTGCAAATGGAGGTTAAATGGAAAGGGCAGAGTGTGTGCGGAAATTACAAGATGCTCTGGGAACACAGGAAATGTTTAAACTTAACCACAGAGCTAATACAGATAAACCTATAGAGATGTCAATATTTTATGAAAGAATGTAATTCAAAACATTCTGTCCTTCCAAATCAAATTTCAGTGCTAATGGATATATTTAAATATGCCCTGCTAAAATAAAATAAAGATAGGTTTGAATGATGTTAATCCATTCTAACAAATGAAGAAAAACCATCAGAAAATAAGTGAGTGTACAAATGAGTAGATGGTTGTAAGGCAAACTGTTTAAAATATTTTCACTTCCTGCCCACCAAGGCCTCCAAAGGAATATGCAATAAAATTGTTGTGACCCCAGTGAAGGCTGGAGACAGCAGCTAAAGAGAGCAGAACAAAGGGAATATATTTTGGCCAGGTAAAATAGGTGCAGTCACAGAATATAGAATCAAAAGTACACAGGAAGCACACCTTGTGGTCGAGTTACAAAACCCTAATCTTGCTTGAACTACTTTCTCACAAACCAGACGTGGTTTCCTTTGAACTATGCACAGATGTTGACAGACAGAATCATATATGGACTTTCCATTGCATTACATTTCAAACTTACATACTTGAGCATGTCTTGAGCTATTGCAATCATATATGGAAACAACTA